TAAACCTGGGTAAAACCGAAGTGCTCCCTCTGAATATGTCCCCCACGACCCTGACCTCGCTACAAACAGCCTTCCCCTATAATTGGAAAGAAGAACGTCTGAAATATTTAGGGATATATCTCACCACCAATACCTCTTTACTGTACGCAGCTAATTATAAACCACTGTTTCAATCCTTCCAATCCCAAATGCATCGGTGGAAATCCTTGAAACTGTCCTTTACGGGTAGACTTTCATCAGTTAAAATGACCTCACTGCCGAAATTGCTATACCACTTTGGCACCTGGTCGGTAAAAATACCCGTATCCGATCTTAGGTCTTTTCAAGGCGATGTTTTAAACCAGTGGTTCTCAACCTGTGTAACCTCAGGACCCACATTTGTCCTTGGTCTTAAGTCATGACCCAAGTCACACTGCAATGGAATGCATGGCATTGCGGGACCACATGTTCCGGTGAGGGCGACCAAACTGCGGGTGGAATTTTGGGGCGGGTTTGGGGTGCCATTCAAATGAATGGCAATGCAACACACCTCCCACACCAGAATGCGCGGTAGGTGCGATTGCTTGGTACAGTGCGTTAATGCGATTAACGCACTGTACTAGTGTGAACGGGCCCTCAAAAACACTGACAGACACACACAACCAGAGACACAATCTCACACACTCACAGACATTCTCATACAAACATACACACTCCCAAAACAATTACATTTTTTTTTTTTTTTTAAGATCCACCCAGTCTCCCAACCTTACGATAACTGGAGTGGATCCGCATCCTGGGGTCCAGAGTGGGCTGCTGTGCTGTGACAGAGTTCCATCCATATGTGCATTGCTTGTACAGCTCCCTTGTGTGCCCTGTAGAGGTGGCAGGAGCCAGAATGTGACGTCACTCCAATCTAGGCACCTCTACAGCAATGCATATGGATGGAGCTTCCTCGCAGCCATAGCCCCCATCCCACCCCACCTCAAGCTGACACTCGGCACCGGGCAGCATATTTGAAATGGGTGCTTGGTGTGAGAACTGACAGTGCTGTGCTAGGGGGAGGCTGAAGAGCCTCTCACCTAGAAAAGTGGAAGGCATGCGGTGACCCACTGAACACAGGGTCGAGACCCACTTTTGAGTCACGACCCACCAGTTGAGAACCAAGGTTTTAAACTGTATTTGGGAAGGTAGTAGACACCGTGTCACTCAAAGGATACTCTATGCTTCACCTATTAGAGTAGGACAGGCACTGCCACATCTTTTTAACTATTATTATGCATCTCTAATTGCGTCTCATTCCGGCCCTGTCTCAGTTTCATCCTCCTACTAGCTGGGCTAGTAGCTGTGGCTATCACCGACTCACCCTAATGCATTACTGTGGTTCCGTCCGGCACAACTTCCTCGGTGTAAACTGCTCTACTCTATGATTCTTATGCTGGATATCTGGAGTAAGGTTAAGATCACTAATGGCTTCATATCGGACTAATCCTCCTTGACCTCTTCTTATTGAACCCTAGGCTACAATCTGGTATGTCCCAGGAATGGGTGGGCATGTGGCAGACTAAAGGCTTGTTCTACCTCCAAGATCTTCTGGACAGAGTCTCCAACCAATTATTATCTTTTGAGCGGCTGAGAGATAGACACAGCCTTCCTTCTCGGGCGCTCTTCTCCTATTTACAAATTAAAGTGTCATTAAACCCTCAGATATTTTAACATAAAACAATAGTGTAATGTGTGCCTTACTGTAATCCATGGTTGTTTCCCTTCTATTTGCTGCTCTTCCTTTTAAATATGTATCTGTTCTCATGCTGGGCAGAACTTCTGTTTTGCAGCAGACTGCCTTGTCTCTGAAATGGATACATGGTGTCTGTGTGTAGGTTTGCAACCTGAGCCAGCACTACAGGAAGAGGCACTCAGCTGCAAAGGGCAGTTCTCCCCCAGCATGTGAAGACATGAGGATTTAAAAGGAAGAGCAGCAAATAGAAGGGAAACAACAATGGATTCCTGTAAGGCACACATTACAGTATTGGTTTATGTTAAAAAATCTGAGGGTTTAATGTCACTTTAAGCACTTTGTGCAATCGCAAAATCTGACATTCCCGCCTAGAACACTATTTGAATCTATGTGTGACGCTTCCCACACTTCCAAAGGTCTGATCTCCTCCATTTACCGCTTGTTGAATGATAAACCCAGGGACGGCTTTACAAAGTTACCCTATATGTTGAAATGGGAAGATGCTTTGGGGGCCACGATCTCCCAACAACAATGGGAACTCATTTGGCGAACATCCACAAAGTCTTCAATTTGTTCGGTGTATAGAGAGAATCAATACAAAATAATGTATCACTGGTATCATACACCGGATTATCTACATTCTCTCTACCCATCGGTATCTCCGCATTGCTGGAGATGACAGATCTAGAGACACTTTGTATCATATTTTTTGGACCTGTTCTGCAATCCAGCCCTTTTGGGAATTGGCTAAGCTCACACTAGAAAATATGCTTGGACAATCCCTCCCTCTCTCTCCTATGCGTTATTTGTTAGGTTTGCCATTCCCCCACCTCCCTAGAACAGACAACATATTAGCAATGCATATCTTGACGGCGGCTCATGTCTCATATCCTTGCAGTGGAAAAGGAGGATCCCCCTGTTCCGACTTGAACTTTATGCTCGGATTAAAGATGTACAGGCCATGGAGTATTTTATAGCATAGCCATGCCATAAAATACTCCATGGCCTGGACATCTTTAATACACTCATTGCCCATGAGAACGTATGGGATGCATGGATCACTCGGGAGGAGCGCATAGGATGACATATGGTCTTGCGTTTCATGTTTAACGTTTAAGGTTCTTGTTTGGAATAGAGCAAACATAAGCATAGTTGATGTGATGTGAAGCTTTCTATATGAGGTCCTGGCTCTGCCCACATTTGTAGGTGGTTACCCTGGAAGATTATCTTTTTCTACCTCTCACCTTCTCTTTCCCTTTCCTTTCTTCTTTCCCTCTCTAATAGTTAAAGTTAGGTTACGCTCTATAGGCATTTGACAGTCAAGGAGATTCGTAAAATGTGAATGGCTACTGATCAATCCAAGCTATTTCCTGTAATCCAGAATTGCCTATATACACCGAGTGGCCAGATTATTATGACCACCTGACGTTTGTAGGCAAATTAGCTATAATTAGCTATAATTTCGTGCTAAAGTTGCTAGAGGGCCAGACCATTATAAATAGGGAAGCAGGTTGTTTACCACGACAGTAGAAGTGATTTTTTTTCTGAAGATATGGGTAAACAATGCGATTTAACAGCCTTTGAACGTGGGATGATTGTTGGCGCTCGGAGCCATGAAGCGAGTATCAGCAAAACAGCAGAATTGGTTAAATGTTCAAGAGCAGCTGTTGTTAAAGTGTTTAAAGACTGGACTGTCAGCCGAAAATCTGGGTCTGAACGTGCGAATTGTGGCCGTCAGCGACTATTCAATGTTAGGGCAGAACTGAGATTGGCAAGACTGGTACAAGACAACAGAAGTGCAACAGTGCAGTGTCAGATTCCTCGCATCACCTTTCAACATCTCGTGGAGTCACGAGGCGGCCCAACGAAGTCATCTCGTGGAGTCATCTCGTGGCCCAACGAAGTACTGATGGGGTAGTCATAATAATCTGGCCACTCAGTGTATATGGATTCATAATGCTATAAATTGAGACAGACTTGTATGTTCTGATTTTACTTACTCATTGTTAACAGATCTTTCATTAATGGCTACCAACCGCTACTATTATATGTATGAATGTCTTGTTCTTTGTATAAAATCTTTAATAAAAAATTGTTAATTAAATATATATTTTTAAAAAAATGCAACTGCCGCCATTTATTTCTACCGCGTCTTGGCTCTCAGAAAATATATAATGTTTGGGGGGTTTAAAGTAATTTTCAGGCCTAAAATGAAAAAAAGGCCTTGGCAGTGAAGGGTCCTTAAGGGGTTAAATATAAATAGTAAATTAGAAAAAAAACACAATAGAAATGAATAGTTAACGGATAAAAGAGGAAGGAGTTAATCAGGGTGAATTAGGATTTGCAAAAGGGTTAATAAGGGGTTAAATAGGAACACATTCTTTTTTTTACTGGTATGGTTGCTTTAACTCAGGGAGCGCCCACAATTTTTCTTCTGGTGATCTACTTTTCAAATAACGAGCTCAATTAGATCTACCAGCGAAAAAGCACCTGCATTCAGGGATGAGAGGGGGCATGACGGTGCACTGAAGTCAATGGCACCACAGCCATGCCCCCTGCCCGCAGTGCGATCGCCTACACCAGGATCTGCAAAAATGCTGCAAGCACTATTTTTGCAAATCGCACTGGACTGGAATGCAGGCACTAATGTGCTTGCGTTCCGGGTGATCGTACTGTGGGAGGGGGGCGTGGCTGCGGTGCCATTGACTTCAATACAACCCCACCCGCCCTTGAACGCAGGGAGCCAGCCGGCTTGCGTTCCAGAGGCTGAACCCTCTGGAACGCAGACTTTGTGGTGTGAACCGGCCCTCTCTCTTGGCTGTCTCTTCTCTCTCCTTGCTCTCTCCCCTGTTTCTATCTGCTGTCTCTTCTCTCTGCTGTCTCTTTCCCACTATCTGTGCTGTCAACAGATGCTGTCAAACAAATTTATGTATGTCCGTATATAGTTTTAGTATATTCGGGCATCGCCCAATCAACTGAATTTCGTTGATTTGCAGGTTCGTTCGAATCCGGATGCACATTTAGGGACATTTTAAGAACAGACTTTATTAAAAGAGCATTAACATACAATGTACCAACCAAGCCTTTATATCTTTACCCCTTTGTTAGGACAGACATTCCTTTCCACAAGACAATACAAAGCTGAAGGGGCCACATAAAAAGGCCAAGTAAGGCTTTTAGGTTATCTCAATCATCCTCATATATGATTGTCATATTGAATACAAAGTTTAAATGTAATCCAATAAATTATACATTGATATGTTTTACAGCGTAAATCAGTCACCTAGGAAATTACGGCATCCTCCAGCTGTGGAGCCTCTGACCCAGCTTCCTTGATGGACAGTCACTTCCCATTTATGATCTGTGTCATCTTCTAGTGCATCAGGGGTGAGGTTGCAAATCTCAACTTTATCGAAGTATATTTTAAAGTCCTCAAACTTCATCCTGGACAAATGTAAAAAAGAAATAAAAAATACTTGGATCTGCCATACAGTAATCATTAATCCTTAAAGAAGAAATCCAGATTTTAGAAAAATTAACCCTTGCAGTGCAGGTGTAGCACCACTGCAAATGTAAATTAAAAAAAAATCCTTGCAGTGCAGGGGTAGCCCCACTGCAAGGGTTATTTTTTTTTAAACCTGTAGTTCTTTTTAAAAAGTACACTAAGAATGTGCACATTAAATAAATACCATTTTCCTAAAAAGCAGTAAAAACTTTAAAACAAGCCTTCATTCACCTCTCTACCTGCTTGTACTGTGAAATAATTAATTCTAAAATATCACAACAAAGACTAGGGCCTGGTTCACACCTAGGAGTTTTTGAGCATTTGGAAAAGCGCTTTTAAATGCCCAACACAAGAAATCCCATGGTTTTCAATGGCCCTGGTTCACACCCGAGCAGAAAAACGCCAGCAGGAAAAAGCCAAATTCCCAAAAAGGTACATGAGCTTTTTTGGGCAGTTAAAAGCGTGTTTTTGCTCCATAGACCTCAATGGAAATGCCCCAAAATGCGTGGCAGAAGCATGTTTCACATTTTTGTGAGCGTTTTTGCCTGTTTAAACGCGTGTTCTTTCATTGCCCACTTGGAGCTGCCAGTCAAAATGCGCGTCTTCAAATCAGTTGATTCCCCTATCCACTCTAAAGTGGGTGGATGAATGACTCTTCCCTGCAGGCATTTGAATTCAGCAGTAGGACTCACAGTGGACTCACCAGCCTGGTTAAACCCCACAGAGCCCTGGTGAGGCCCTACAAAGCCCTGGTGCGACCCCACAGGGACCTGCTGAGACCTCACAGGCCTGAGTGGGGCCTCATGTTTAGGTTTCACCTAAGGCCTCGCAAACTCTAGAACCGCCTCTGAGGGGCCATAGATCCTGTGTTAGCCTGTATTGGGGAGTGTGAGCAGACTGGAGATCATTCAGAGAGATAAACTTCAGTCTAGAGTGCAACATCAGTATCGTTTGGATGATCTCTTCTCTGGGGTACAGCGTCACCTATACAACAGGGATATCACGGCCTGGACAAACGGTCGAGCCTGTGCAGTGAGATCCAATAATGCCCAGCAATCCGCTGGAGGCCTAGAGGCAATTACACAGAAAGTTCTTCAGCATCTTCCTGTGACCGGAGATCATCTTCAAGGTACAGCGGATGACTTAAGGACCAGCAAGGGTGTCGCCTTAGAGTAAGGGGACCCCGTCTCTCGCTGATGGACATCACAGTTGCATGTCTGACCCTGGAGTTGGTGAGAGGCTTTTGGGCATTTGTGTTATCTTTGCAATTCACTTCGGCAACACAGTATGGGTCCCAACGGTGGCTAGCCTAGACTATTGCTACTGGCCAGTAGTATCGAGAGTTGGAGATTAATTGGGACTGGGACATTAGCAATCAAGTGTTCAAGGTCAAAGATAGCAGCTGAGTTAGTTCACTTCTGCATATCTCAGTATACAGATAGTCGCTTATTGTCTGAATGCCTAATGTACATTGTTGAAAGTTGTTTTTTCAATTATTGTGTTTCCTTTATGCAAAGCTTGACAAATATATATCAATTGCCTAGTAAAGCCGTTTACAAAACTCTCTAAGGTGTGTTGGTGTAGTGTGGATCCTGTTTGGGTGGTACATTTTGGCTTAGGGACAGAAACACCCAGGTTATTCTGGTGGTCCCTTCGAGGGTGAGCTCTACATTAGCATTATATGAAAATATTGTTACATTGTTGTAAACCCCCCAAAAAAAGAGGAAGAGAGGAAGAGTTCAGTGGTTAGTTTGAAGTCTGATAGGCTTCCCTAAAGAGATGAGTCCTTAGTAATCGCCTAAAGGCAGTCAGAGTGGGAGATAGACGGACAGGTTGGTGTAAGGAGTTCCAAAGAAACTCCATAGAAAATGAGATGTACAGTATAGATGCATTAGAAAAAATAAACACGGGTTCCCCATATAGGGTAAACCAAAGTGGCCAAAGCTCCCAAAGTTTACTAATGCTTCAAAAATCTAATCAGAGTAATTCAAGCGGTATTAAACCAAAAAAATGTATAGAAAACAAGATAACCCCCATAGGGATGTACTTCTTAGGAATCATCAGTCAAACTTTGCATAAAATGTTATGCATGTGTCCTGCTAATTTGTCTGTAGCTTATTGGACAAAAATCGGGTACTGGAGGGTATGGCCAGACCACATATGGATGATGGAAAGAAACCAAATGCAACTTGATATTCAAGCTCTAGAAATAGTAATCTCATAGCACTAATAGAAAAAGTGCTATGCTTGCATTGTCTAAGTGTGACATCACTAAGTGTGACGTCACTATTAGTGCTATGAGATTACTATTTCTATAGCTTGAATATCAAGTTGCATTTGGTTTATCTTTGCATCATGTATGATCTATTCCATATGTAGTCTGGCCAGACGCTCCAGTAACTGATTTGTGTCCAATAAGGTATAGACAAATTAGCATGACACATGCATAACATTTTAACTTATGTGTTTGTATTGTTATTTAATAAACTGTTATACATTTTTACAAACTTTGACTGATTCCCAAGGAGTACGTCCCTATGGGGGTTATCTTCTTATTTTTTATAAATGTATTAGTAGTGTTATTCATTCATTAATTTCCCCAATAATCCCCAGTTTGCATTTTGAAGGATTCCATACATTAGGTATTGTAAGTTGGTCTGACATTAACTGGATATTTGCAAACCTAAATTACCTTGTGGCGGAGTGCCCCTTTTCCAGATTCAGGTGCAGGTGCCTTTAACTCAACTTCCAATAATTCTCTGGGCTCCCAGCCCCCCTGAGCTCTTGGACACACCCAGGGGATATAAATTCCAGCTCCTCTTGCCTTCCTGAGACCCTGCCTGATGGGACAGCCATGACAGGGCAAGTGAGCTATCTCTAAGCCTGATGAAGGGGACCCTGCGAGGCCCAAAAGTGCTTGCCAATGAGATACAGCTATTGGCAATAAAATATTTTGCTTTTTCAACTTATGGTGTGCTGGTGACATTTTTCTATAGGGCAAGTGAGCTGTCACCAGGTGCTGGGTCCTCCCCTGTTAAATCTAGTATGTGGGCCACCAGCAGTAAGTACAAGAACATGCAACATCTGTTTAAGCCACAACCGCTGGAGAGGACTCTATTGCAGTCCCAGGGGCCCAAGACGGTTGAGGGGCCCACTGAGGTCCGGTCCTGGGGATTGTAGGCAGAGGGGGACTGAGCGGGGGCCCCATAAAAACAGCCGCCGCAGTGGCGATCACCCTTCTCAGCTCTGTCCTCTCTTTGAGAGGACAGAGCTGAGAAGAGTGATCGCCGCTCTCGATCACTGAAGCGGCCACTACAGCCACAGAGCTGCCGAGGAGAAGAATCTGTTCAGCTGTCACTACTATGTGCCCTTCAGTGATCGGGCTGCTCGGCGGCCACCTGAAGCTTCCTCCGCCCACTTCAGCTGCTATAGGCTATAGCAGCTGATGTGCAGCTTCTACAGCCGGCCAATAGTGGTGTCTGCAAGGAGTCTGCTGGGGCCTTCAACCACCACCACCTGGAGATAAAGAGGGAGGAGCACCTGAATCACATCTGTGTGCACTGTAAGTTCTTGTTCTTTCTGCGTCACATCTGCGTCACACCCTGACCTCTACACTCTCCGTCACACCCTGACCTCTGCACTCTGCTTCACACCCTGACCTCTTGTAATATTGCAGTAATTTAGTTATAGGATCTCAGCGGTGGAGGAGAGTTATTAGCAAATGAAATTTGTGCACTCCCACTGGTGTATTCCTTCATCCTCCTAGTATGGCACTATATACATGGAACAATTTGTTCCTGCTTGCAATCACACTGGGAACTAAAACTTAGGAGTCACTTCAATAGTTCAGAAGTATAATAGCCTGCTTACATACTGCAATTGTACAAAGAATATATAACGGAGGTATTCAGTAGTTATCTAGGTCCACAATCTTAAATAGCATGCAAATAGCACTGGACGAAGCAGATGCGGTTTATAGGTCTCTGCAATCTAATGTATACGATTCAATGTAATGGCAGAAGACAGAGCAGCTGGTATTGGTAGTACACAACAGCCAATAATATCTGGTTGTAATACAGTAGCCATTTTGGTGGCAGCTGGGATTTGTAGTACACTACAACGGTGAATAGCAATTACAATTAGTAAAGTCTCTACCATAAGAATCTATAGTGACTCTATATTGGTAGTACACAGAGGTCCACAGTATATGGTTGTAACACAGTAGCCGTGGTGGTGACCGCTGGTATTTGTAGTTCACTACAACAGGCAACAGCAATTGCAATGGGGAGGAGCAGCATGACGTGTCCTCGATAGGCAGATTCCATCGCTGGATCGGATGCCGGTAAGTTTACTATACCTCTGCACCGTGTGTCACACCCTGACTTCTGCACTCTGTGTCACACCCCGACCTCTGTACTCTGTGTCACACTCGAACCTCTGCACTGTGCGCCACACCCTGACCTCTGCACTGTGCATCACACCCTGTGACGTGACTGAATTTCCACTCGCCTGCACTGCATTTCCACTCGCCAAATGCGAGCAGGCGAGTGGAAATTTTGAGCCCTGGCCCTACTTATATTTCATTTTTACACTGGCTGTGATGCAAGAGTCTCAAACTCCCTCTTAAGACTGGGAGCGACGCCTGAGACTCACACCTGAGAAGCCTATTATCCACACCTCCTGCAAATCCCCTCCGCAGTTGCGCTCCACACCGAACACCTACAGTAGGCGTAACACACCCTGACCTCTGCACTCTGTCTCACACCCTAACCTCTGCATCACACCCTGACCTCTGCACTGTGCGTCACACCCTGACCTCTGCACTGTGCATCACACCGCTGACCTCTGCACTGTTCGTCACACCCTGACCTCTGCACTGTGCGTCACACCGCTGAGCTCTGTACTCTGCGTCATATCGCTGAGCTCTGTACTCTGCGTC